CCCCAGGCGTGCCTGATCCGCAAACCGCAGCTATGTGCGCAACGTTCAGCCAGGTTCATGCACCGACGCGCAGCCTGATCCTGCGGCCATCACGTGCACAGACTCCCCACCCACCCCACCACCCCGCCTGTCGGCACGCCATTGGAGCAGCGAGCCCACTTAAAGATCCGTGTTACACAGTAGGCGCAGTAACGCTAGGTTTCTGAGAGTCCCTTGAGTCTCACAAGATGCCTCCTGTCGCTCTCCCACAATGGTGCCCCAAAGGGTACGTGTCATGCCTGTTGCTGTATGTGCCTATGCTGCTATCAACATGTGACATGCAAGACCTTGAGCTGCTTGTGTCGTGGCATGCTGCTTTGTCAAAGCACGATTGCCGACCATGTTCTCGGAGCGGTGCATGTCGCGACACGTGCAGAATTTCGTTCTAATATAAGTCAACGGTCGTGGTTTGCACGTCCCGCCGTTGCAGGATTCACCCCTGTTTGACTTCAATCGGTGATTCTGCTGCCTGAGCCCAGAGGCGCCCCGCTCCCTGCCAGGCAAGCGTTGCTCAATGAGTGTTGCACTCACTGGGAGTCCCGGTGCGACAGAGGCTGGTGCACTGTGCGGCGCACCTGTGAGTTCGAATTGCTACCGGGATCATTGTATGCTGTATCTTGTGAAATCACCGATGAATTCTCTTGCACGTACATGTATGATGCGCTGTGTACGGATCGGTATGGCACATTGGCAGGGTGGGGTCACCACGGGACAAAGTTGCGCCAGGGGGAGGTGTTGTTCTTAGTATGAGGACTTGCGGTGTGCAACGCTTGCGATTGTAGCGGCATCAGACATACTATCCTAGAAGCATACTCAAAACGTTCACATTGCAGCAGCAGTGATCTGCTTCTCGTCACTTGCCCATCCCTCTATCTAAGCTCGTGCACGCCCGTCATCCGTAATCAAAGCCGCTTGTTTAGCTGATCAAGCACGTGCACCAAGACGTGGAGCCTAGGTAGCCAGCAGGATCGCGATCTGCAGCAACACTAGCAGGCTGCCGCAGGATGTCGCGTGGGAGCGGCTCTGGATATGACAGGTGCGCTGAGGAGGAGACCACTAGCTGTAGCCCGTGATGCAACATTGATCGCCGGTGCGGCACGCGCACATGCCGCGTGTGCTTCTTGCGTATATGCTTGCATGCGCAGAGTCTTGTCAAGCCGATGCTTCCCCATGCCACTGTGCAATGGTGCTGCAGGCACATCACGATCTTCTCTCCGGAGGGACGTCTGTTCCAAGTCGGTAAGCTGCCACGACAGCAGGCGCGGAGTGAAGGCTGCGAGGGGCGGCACAGGCAATCGATGGTGCCACGTGTATCAACCCGCGTGCTTACTGCCCATGTGGGCCTGTCTCAACGCCCCGGCTGTGCACCCGCCGCATCCTGACAGAGTATGCGTTCAAGGCCGTGCGGCAGTCGGGGATCACCAGCATAGCAATCCGCGGCAAGGACTGCGTGTGCTTCGTAACCCAGAAGAAAGTCCAGGTAACGAGCGGCGCGAGGTGATGTGGCCGGCCGTGCTCAAACGCTCGTGGGAGACTGGTCTTGCATGGCAGGAATGAGCAGGGGTGGCGATGGCGGGCCGCCACGTGGGCTGTGGCGGACCTGAGGAACGGCTCTCGGCAGTCGTCCGACCAGCTCGCATCACCCGAACAGTGGCAGGGGGTGGCACACTTGCGCAGGCGCTAGCCCAGCGGCGGCACACATGCTACTCGCAGCCCGTGGGCTTCGGCGGCGTCGTTGCCTCCCCCATCGTGCAAGCAGCAAAAGGGCGCCGTATCCGCCCTCCTGTGCTGCAATTTCGCCCTTGTGGGCTGATTTAGACCTGCGCACAACAACCTGTTATCAACCCCGCAGGACAAGCTGATTGACCCTGGCACCGTCACGCGGATTTTCAAGATCACAAAGTACATTGGCATGCTGGTCACCGGACTGCCTGGTGAGTGGCCTGTTTGATCGGTTCGTTGCGGGCAGTGCAGTGCAGGCAGGTGTCTTGGGAGGCATGCTTTCAGACGTTGACCTGGCGTGCAGGTGCTGCGCGGCTGGTTATGTGGTTTGAGCGGCGCTGAGCACGCAAAGGACGGTGCGGGCTGCTTGAGGGCTTAGTCACATGGACATGCGCGCTCAGTCGACGTCAAACCCGTGCGGCACGGGGCGCCCCCAACCGAACCCTAGACCCTGTGGTCGCACCTGCCGCACGCACGGCCTCATGCCTACCTCCCCTCCCCTGCGCTCCCCGCCGCAGCCGACTCCCGGAGCGTGGTGCAGCAGGCGCGGCAGCAGGCGGCCGAGTTCCGGTTCACATATGGCTACGAAGTCCCGGTGGATTACCTGGCTAAGGTGCTGGCCGACAAGGCGCAGGTGTACACCCAGGTGCGCACCATCCGGCGGTCCCACAGCAGTTCAAACACGCGCGATCAGATGTGCTCCGATCTAGTGTGATTTGGGGATGCTGTGCCGCCGCCGCCGCCGCTCAGGTGGGTGCTGGGATGCTTGCGGGGCGCGGCCCGCCACCGGCAGACTGGGGTTGCCCGTTGACGCCGCCCGCTGGCGCCCGCTGGCTCGCGCCCCCGACCGCGCTGTCGCAGCACGCGTACATGCGGCCGCTGGGCGTGATCTCAATGCTGGTGTCTGTGGATGAGGAGCGCGGCCCCAGCCTCTTCAAAGTGGACCCGGCGGGCTACTACGTCGGGTACAAGGTGCGCACGCGTCGGCCCCGCTCGCGATCGCACACTTGTGGGGCGTGCTTTGTGCGCGCTCGCACGCATGTGTCTGTGTGTGTTTTGGTGTATGTATGTTTGTTTGTGTGTGCGTGTGTGTGTGTGACAGAGAGAATGTGTGTGTGTGTGTCTGTGTGTGTGTGTGTGTGTGAGTGTCAAGAAAGCTCAGGTGTCGAATGCGTGCAGCAGGGGCGCCCGGCAGTACAGCCCGCCCTCGCCCTCCACGCCTCGCCCCTGGCTTCTGTTTCCCGCTTCCCCCAGCGGCCCCCAACGCCACCCCGACCCTCCTCGGCGCCCACATCACCCCTGGGGCCCCCCAGGCCACCGCGGTCGGCACCAAGGAGACCGAGGCGGTGAACTTCCTGGAGAAGAAAGTGCGCGCCATGCCGGCCGAGGGCGCGAGCTACGACGACACCTGCCAGACGGCTATCTCCGCGCTGCAGGTGTGGGGGCGCGGCTCTGCACGGCGCCCGCACCTGGGGCTGCTGGGCTGGCGATGCAGCTGCCTTGCTTGGGAGGGAGGGCGGCGCGGGTCAAGAACCGACAGGGCCGAGCGTGCGGCGAGCATGCGGCAGGCTTGTGTTGGCGCGCCTGGCTGCGGCGGCCGAGTGGCCCGCGCTCCTGCTGTCAGGCACGTCGCCGCGGCTGGGATCCGCGGGCGCTGGCAAGAATCCATCCTCCAAGCTGCGCCACTTGGCGCACCTGCCCCGTTCTACTGGCTCGCACCCTTGCTCCTGCCGGTGTCGCCCCACCTCCACGCACACACTCCTGCACGGCTCCACCCATTTTGCAGCCGTCTCTCCATCTTGCACCTGAGTCCTCCGCGGCAAATCCCCTCCTCAACCCCTGAACTGACCCCCTGGCTCAAAACCCTACCCACTCACCCTAGTCCGTCCTTGCTGAAGACTTCAAGGCCAGCGAAATCGAGGTCGGGGTCGCGCGCACAAGCTGGGACGGTGAGTATGCATTTACTGGGGCAAGGGGGGGATAAGGCCTCTCCCGTGCACACCTGTACGTGTAATGCAACGGCAGGAGGGTGAGCTTAACGCTAAGGGCCGCGGCCCTAACATGTGCAGGCCTGCGCACGTGCTGGTGCTTCGCACTGCCACGATACCGTGTTGCGTGCTGCATGCCAGGGCGGGCGCGTTGCTGGATGCGGCGCTCACACTAGGATCAAACGCCGCCGTTGAGCAGCCCGAGTCTAGCAGCCAAAGTGGCATGGTTGGCCGCCTCGCCCGTCCCCCCCTCCCTGCCCCTCCCACCCGACACCCTTCTTGCGCGTGCCTCCCACGCTTCCCCCGACCCACCAGGTCGCGACGAGCGGGCATTCAAGGTGCTGCCGGTGGAGGAGGTGGACGCCTTCTTGGTTGCAATCTCTGAGCGAGACTGAGCACCCTGGCTGTCCTCTGCAGCTGGGTGCGCGCGAGCAGGCGCTACCCATATCTTGTCGTGTAAATTGGTGAAAGGCTATTGTTGGCCTGCAGTCATCCCATATTCAAGTGTGCTACGCCGCAGTGGGGTGGGTCTTGAAGATGGGCCGTATGTGGCTGAGCGGGGCGGTGGTGGCCGCTGTCGCCCTGCAAGCCTGGCTTGCTGGCGGGACGCGGCAAGTGAAACTCAGAGGTGGCCCGCCGGGGGAGCTCGGCCCAGGAGTCTGAGGGGCTTGGAGAGGAGGGGCAGGAGCGAATTGTTGCTCACCGGGGCGACCTGAGCCTGTCAATCAACCAAACGCATGCATGCATGCACTTGTGTGAGCAGAGCCGGTTTTACCTGTAGGCTGCACGCGACGGCACGGCCCAACCTGCTGTCACACCAGAATACTGCAGATTGGTCCTTGGGCTGTTGCTGTCAGCGCTCTGGGCACGTCACGGCAGGCCCGGTATTGGACGGGCTTGTTGACAGCAACCGCCCCGGGCAATCCACGCTCACAAACTCCAACTGCCAACCTTGAGATCTGACTCAGCGCTCTCAACAGAGCACGCCTGCTCAGAGCCCTGCCTCCCACTTTGCATGTGCCCCTGCAGTTTGGCTTTGGCTTGTAGCGCCATGCCCCGATTGGAATCGCTTGCGCAGTGCCGCAATCACAAACACGCGACAGGAGGACCATGGAATCAAGCAGGTGCAAATGGCACGCATCCACCTGGTGGCAGTCTCCTTGTGCATGTGATGGGCGCCTGTTTAGAACAAGTGACAGGTGCTTGCCCGGTGGCCAGCCATCCCGGCACCAGGGGCCCTGTGGGAGACGCGCTGCTCCCCCAGGCCTCAACGAGACAAGTAAATAATAACCCAGGGCTGAACTTGCTTGTGCGCAGACGGAGCCATCGTCGCTGCGTCTGGCCGACACTCCTGCTCGCATGTTGTGTGGTCCGCGGCCACTTGGGCAGGAGGGGAAGTCTGCCGTGGTTCGGCTCTAATATCTTGTTCCCAGCTCACCATGACATGCGTACTGTGCACACCCTAATGCATGTTGGTGCTCAAGATAAGCGATGTGTAACATGCACTTTGAACTTGCTGGCCAGCCCGGGCAGCGTTGTCCCCGAGGTGTGAACTGTGAAGTGGGCGGTGCACTTAGTCAACACAAGACACTCCACAAGCACGACTTATCAGAAAATTGCATCAAGGCTGCCTGAATAATTGATCCGGAAACGACAGCTGATTAGGGGGATAGCCCGACTGAGAGCTGCACTATCGTCACGAAGCTGCTCGGCTTCTCGGCACCGCTGATAGAGCTCTTTGCGGGCACGAAGGGCCACCCTCCGTTGTCAAGTGTTTCTACGTGACATACAGACGTCAGCATCGCCCTTACAGACACTCGGAACGTTGTCACAAGCCTGTGAGACTGTCTGTGAACTCTTCTTCAGCCAGCTCGTAACTCACGGAGCGCACCGCGGGCCGGCCAGCGCCACGACATCCTCAATAAACCAATTGTTATTATGGATCACGTGGCTCTGGGCATCAAGCGAAGGCTTGCGGATGGGCTGGTCAGCGGCGCTTTGCTGGGCCCTTCTATAGGTGCGCTAGTTGCGTAAGATGATGTTGAGGCTTGTGTTGATATCTTGGTCTGATGACACGCCGCTCACCGGCCAGACGGTGGCGATTTCGTGCCTCGACTGGGCGGACTTGCCCCTTCATAGCTTCTTCTTTCGGACCTCCGCAGGGCTCGACGTGAGCAGCAGCATCCACGAGTCCAACACTATGCGCCAGGCCAAGAGGCTGTGCGGCTCGGGCGCTGGTGCCAACCTTGGTGAGTTCCCGCCCAACCCTGTCGCGGTTGGGCGAACGAACGCGCGTGCGCGCGCGGCGGCGGGACCACACTGAACAGGCGTGGTCCCGCTGCTACCTCCCTGTGTTGAGGCCCCTCCATGTGCTGGATGGCTTTGTATGGTATGGGTGCCTTGGCTGCGCCACTCTTTTTTAGCCGAGCTCGACCCCTTCACACCCCTGCGCCGCGCCCCATTCTCCTGCGCCCGTGCACCTGCCCCTCACGCAGAGTCAATGGTGTTCGCCGTCCTGAAGCAACAGGCCGCTGTGCAGCAGCAGGCCGCTGCAGCCGCGTCCGCAGTCGCCGCGCTTTTCAGCAGTGGCGGCAGCGGCGGCGGCGCCCCCGCGCTCGCGCCGCTCCTGAGCGGCGGTGCGCGGATTGCGACCCCTGAGCCGTCACTGGCGCCCACGCTGAGGCTTGCGCAGCCGATGCAGGTGGCGGCCCAGCAGCAGCAGCAGGAGCAGCAGCAGCAGGAGCAGCAGCAGCAGCAGCAGGTCAACCTGCAGGACAATGCTAAGGTGGAGGCTATGATGCTCCACGCCGACCAAATATTGAAGGCGCGCGGCGTCACCGACCCGGCCACCGCCGCGTCCCTCCGCGATCGCATGCGCGCGCGCCTGGTGCAGCGCGCCGCTGAGGCGCAGGCGGCCGCCCAGCCGGCGGCAGCCGCGGCGCAGCCGCGCGCGTCCCCCACGCATTCGCTGGCGGCCCCTCCACAGCAGCAGCCCGGGCACTCCTCCGACCCTGGGAGCCCTTCATGCAGCACCGCCACGACCAGCGTCTGCTTTGAGGACGACGAGCAGGCAGCCGCCGAGCAGCTGCTCCTGCTCGGCAGCCCCGAGGCGACCTCGCCGACGGCTGCCGACGCAGCCGGCCGGGCCGCCTCCTCCGCCGTCGCCGCCGCCGCCGCCGCCCCTCCCACTAGCGGAGAGGGGGCGCTCGCGCTCACGCAGGCGCAGGCGCAGGCGAAGCAGTCGCGGCACACGCACACCCACGGGGCGCCGCGAGGGCTTGCTGCCCCGACACCGCAGCATGCAGCGACGGCAGGGCTGGGGGAGGCAAAGCGCGGCGTCCCCTGCACGGGCTCTGCGCAACCGACGGTCTTCAAGCGCCGACTTTATTCGCGTTCAAGCAAGCTGCTTGGAAACACCAAGGGCCGGCTGTGCCTGCATCAGCAGCCAGCCCAGCAGCAGCAGCAGCAGCAGCAGCAGCAGCAGCAGCGCCTGGTGGTTGCCAACGGCTGCGGGTCGCCGGGCTTCGTCGACATCGCATCTGCGGTGCCTTGCTTCACGCAGGAGGCGCCGCTTGACGTGCACACGCCGCACCCGGCGCTGCCGCTGCAGCTGCAGCTGCCCGCGGCATCTGAGCAGCCGATGCAGCAGCAGGAGCAGGAACGGCAGGAGCTGCAGCTGACATCATTCACACAGCGCGAGCCCCAGCAGCCCGAGCTCAAGCAGCCAGAGCAGGCGCTTGA